TTATTTACAACTTGAAAAAACTATACAAACAGCATATGTGTTTTAAGAATACAGACAATAAATTAAATGAGTACTTTCAATGCAAAGGAAAAACAAATTATGCATGACCCCTGATTTTTTTAAGTGTTTGAATTGACAATAATGACCTTAAGTGCCTTATACTTATGTTATCACCGTTGGCTAGACGAATCGGTGTCAAATGTTTAATGCATGAGCACTTTTGAAAGACTCGAGTACAGTTCAGAATATGTTCCCGAATGAATAATTAATGCAGTCATGCATAGGCGATACAAGTGAAACATACGTTTTTTCAGATTAAGATTACTATGTTAAAAAGGCCTATTATCATAAATTAAAAAACATGAATGTATAATATTAAAAAAGGATTGCGGCTAAATCTGTGTTTAATTAATTTCGTGTTATCAAACAAAGATTAAATTATACTTATTTTGTCCCGTTTATTGAAATTTTAATCTCACCGTTCCCTGATTTAATTCTCAAAGGGTATGGGTATCATATCCCCATGACAAAAATAATAACACTGTGAAGATACAATTTTTTTTCGTTTGGAGGTGGTAGTGAACATCTTTATGTGTGTATCTCCCACGGGCTTAAACCTGGTTAGCTACTACTAATTTTAGGTTTTTTTTATTCAAATTTAAAATATAATGTCAGTTTAAACTTTGTATTGAAAACCACTAAATACAATTAAAATACTATGAATATAAAGTAATATTTATAATATTATAGGTGCAATAAAAAATTGTAGGGTGACAAATAATTATACGATATTTCGTTTCTTTAATTTTACAAGAAAGTCTACTTTAAAAAGAAATTTCGCATAACGTAATACAAAAATTTGATTTTCAGACAAAGTTTTCGTCGTGAGAATATTTAGGTTAGGGTTAGCACGATGCCAATTGACCAAAGAGATTTTGACCGTTCATAATTTGCTCAAAATAAAAAAAAAATAAAAAATCTGTATTTAAATTTTATTATAAAACACTATTTTAAGTTTTTATTTTAATTTTTTCTAAAACTGGTCTCTAACGCGTTAAAAAATTGGTAGATAAATTAGTTTAATGTTTTAACATAATTAGATAATTTAATAAGTATCTTAACTTTTATTTTTTAATAAGTTACATAAATTTTGACGCTCCCAAATTTTTTACAATCTCCTTTTAAATCACATTAATAAGAAAAAAGACAACATTTTTTTCCAATATTTCATTGAACTTATGATGATAATCTTAAAACACATATGAAGAAAATAAAATATCATACAATCTTAAGGGCCATTATTGAGTAAAAAATGTTTTTTGATCGACTGTATGTTGATAATATTTGTAGGTTTTGTTCTTTAATATTAATATTTTTCCTTAAGTCCCCGTTAATAAATTGAGTTAGTATTCATTAATTGATTATTTAGTGTAGTACCGAAATAATGTAAAATGTTCACTAGAAATTTAAAATAATGAAAACTATTATACTTATTTTATTCGGCGTGAAGATATTGTACTATCTATGTTTTGAACAGCAATAACAGATTCTATGGTATTTACATTTTTTAGTAATAATATAAAATGTTAAAAATAGATTTCCTTTGTTGTTTTTTATAGTAAATAATCAGAATTTATCTCTTCTTTCGAATGAAAAAGATTACTTTTTATATAGTTAGTAAAAATTTCTATTAGCATATTTAATTTAGGTTAAAACGTTACTGTAACTATTTGAAATAACTAGTAAATTAACTGAATTTATTATTAAAACTTGGCAATTTCTAAATTATAATCTACTTAATTTTTTTTAACGCACTTAATATTACAATCAATATTAACAAACATGATAATACAATTTTTTTTACCTAATTCGACCTTTTGACACGTTAAAATATAGTTAATTGATCGCGAAAGATTTCAACTGGTAAAAAATTCATCCATAGTTTAAATACAAATTCATTGATTTGCCTTTAATTAAACTCAATAATTGACAGAAAAATGTGTTCATTTGTTGCCCAAATATTTTGAATTACAAAAAAGAAAAATATTTCATAAAGGTTTTCGTTTCTGAGTTATAACTTTTGCCTACTCTGAAACCAAAGTTATTTATAACTGAAAATTATTCACTAGGAAATTCCAAAATATTCAAGGTGGTTTAATGTAGACGGCTGTCCTCTACTTGAAATAAAGTTATTTTATAAGTATATACAATTTTACTGTGAATACTTAAAATCTATTTTTAAATCGTCTGATGATCTGATGAGTTAGATTAATCATGACAGTGATTTGCTATACTATTATTAAAACTAATTAGAAACCAGGTATCTAAAGAACCTCTGAATAACTATTTGAACAAATAAGAATTATATTTAACAATTTTTTCATTGACCTAAATGATTAATTTTTTTCTTTAAAATTTCATTATTTAACTCAAAATCTCAATAAAAACCTTGCGTATGAGGATAATAGTGCTTCAAATCGTTTAAAAAAAAAAAAAAAATATACTGGGCTCATTATAGGGACTCAAATACATAATTTAGATCCCTATTGGATATTTATGTTAGATTTTTGATATAGAAACCAAAAGATGTGATGTATATCATTTTGTTTCTATACACAGCGGCGAAATAATAGGTGGGCCTAGCGAGAAATTGTGGCCATTTTTTTCTTACCAACCTTTTTCAAATTTAGCATCTCTACTTCTTTCTCTTTAAACTGTGTACGTGATATGTGATAAAAAAAAATTCCAACTGAATTAATGCAATCTCTGTTTTAATGGGAATAATAATTGTTTTATTTTAAATTGTACTTAAATTCGTTTACAGCGGCGTGCTTGGGATTCTCATCACGGGGGAATCTAACAGCTGTATGCCTTCCCATGACAACACCGATGATAGTTTATTTTATTTTATAATACCAGCATGTAAAGTTATTAAACATTTCTTTCCTATAGTAAAATAAAAAACCGATAGAGCGTGCTTAATGTACACGATGACCTGGCGGTAGGCCATCCCAACTACTAATTTAAGCCAACGATCAGTGTTAAAGTATTAAAGTCACGCCCTTTAACTCCGCCCGATGGTACTGAATTATTGATTCACACCCTCTTTTTATAAAAAAAAATACGCAGTTGGCCTGGGAAGCGAGTTCCTTCTGACACTTACAGAATATAATATTACTTTCAGTTGATGTATAAAATATTTAGTAGGGAAACATCATCAGTGAACGAAAAGCACTGAATTTTTATTTAAAAAATTGTCTAATCTGATTGTAATGAGTTGTTGTTACTAGTTTTTTTAACAAAGGAAATATCTAAATTAAATCCTACTGCAATAACAATTTTTGATACAATATCTTTAACTGTTCATTTATTAGAAAGTTTCAGTTTTCAACATTTAATGAATTCAAATTTTTGTTATAGTTTATTATAAACATTTTAACATTATTATGTAGAGAATTTTCCAGAGAACAAATTTTTATTAACACAATGAGTGTAGTATTAAAAATTAATAACTGTTCATTCATTGGCGAAGTCACCCCATTATTCGTTTTATTATTAAAATAATTTCTCTTGTATCTCAAATGTTTTCTTTATAGTTATGGTATTTACTTTAGTATTAATGTTACTTTAACTATCAAAAATCAACTTTTTACATTATGGTAATGCTATTATTCAAAATTGACAGAAGTTTTTAATCATAAAAAGTCTTTTTTTAATATAGGTGGCAATAGACAATTATATAATACATTCTTGTATTATAACTTTACAACACTAAGAATTTTTGTGCCTATATTTTTTAATATATTAAAAGAAAATATTTGAAATAATAAAAATTAAAAATAAAAACTTACTATTTTTATAGACTCTATTTACACATTTAACTATATAGTGACTTAGAGAATAGATTGATAATTTCGTATCATTTTAATGCATTTAAATAAAATATTAAAAAGACGTTTTATGGTGCTCAATTTTAATAAGCCTCTCCTCTCAAAAGTTGTGCTACTTAAGAAAGAGAATGTGATGGTTTAGTTTCTAGTTGTTTGACACGATAACCTGTTAACTAAAAGTACTTTTTTATATAGAAATTTTTAGTAGTTCTCATTACCAAACATTAGCATAAAATGTTTATAAACGTAATTTATTTTAATTAATTGGTTGTAAATTCAGTATTTGTTATGAAATTAGAATCGTTCCTAAAATTATGTATTAATTTTTTTCTACAACTTCTGTTAACCGCTTTTGATGTAGATGTCGACAATGTAAAATACGTGTAATCGTGATAACACATATTATAGATTACCAAAGTACGTGGTGTGCTGTCAGGTAGTCCAATATCTAAATTTCCCACTCTTATTGAACCACACTAGGGTGTAACAAAGCACACTAANAAACTAAAAGTACTTTTTTATATAGCAATTTTTAGTAATTCTCATTACCAAACATTAACATAAAATGTTTATAAACGTAATTTATTTTAATTAATTGGTTGTAAATTCAGTATTTGTTATGAAATTAGAAGCGTTCCTAAAATTATGTATCAATTTTTTCTACAACTTTTGTTAACCGCTTTTGATGTAGATGTCGACAATGTAAAATACGTGTAATCGTGATAACACAAATTATAGATTACCAATGTACGTGGTGTGCTGTCAGGTAGTCCAATATCTAAATTTCCCACTCTTATTGAACCACACTAGGGTGTAACAAAGCACACTAAGAATTTTAGAAGGTTGTATAGACGTATGTAATGGCTGAGGTTGGTTGAACGCATGTTTATTATAGTATACTCAGAGCTACCCATAGATAATAGATACATGTTAATAATGTCAATGGAACTGTCGGATAACGATACATTTGATTTATTGATCACTGGCAGTATTCTTCTAATTTAGTAGAATGTGTGTTACAGTGATGCCGAAAAAGTATATTTAATGTTGGCGTATTTACCTACACTGTACGACCTCGTGTGATATTTTTTATCAACTTTTCAATTAAATAACAAATGATCCATAGATTCAACACATAAGCTAGTAACTGTTCGAGTATTAAAAAAATCAATACCTGAAGTTACTGTTTATTGGTAATTTTTTTAAATTATTAATTGAATATAATTATCATTTTGAAAAATGGTAAAATCAGGACACAAAAAATTTTTAAAAAAGGAAAAATCTAAAGTGAAATTAAAAGTTTCTCATCAAACATTATTACCTAAAGGACAAAATGTAACAAACACCAATTTTAAAGTGCAAAAAATTGTTTTGAAAGGCCAGTTAAAAGAACGTGGTGAACATGAAATACTTTCTAAAGGAAATCTTAACATAAAAGTAAGATAAAATTGTGTTAATATATGCATTATTGTAAAATTAATCTTAAATGTTATTTATAGGAACTGCTTACAAGACTTAACCATCATAATATGTGGCAAAGGCAGTCTGCTTTAGAGGGATTAAATGATCTTGTAGCATTTTATCCCCCACAAACTATGGCTGTTCACTTGTCATCATTTTTAGAAGCTGCTTCACGTCTTTCCTTGGACTGCGAAGCTGATATTCGTAAGCTAGCAGTTAAACTTTTATCATCTATTTTGACTGCAGTCAATGAAGATCAAGTTGCTCCTTCATTTGAAATTGTTACAAGATACTTAGCTTGTGCAATGAGTCACATTAATTCTGCAGTTCGAGAAACATCACTACAAGTTTTAGAGGTTCTTATAGAAAAATGTCCAAAATTGACAGCTACTCAGTGTCAGGTATTTTTATTTGAACTAAATTTGTTCTAAGCTTTATTATTTACTAACCTCTATGTTTTAATTTTTAGTCTGTTGTTTTACCAGGATTCTTAGATTTAATATCATCGAAACTAAATGATACAGGATCCCGTAAACTAACTGTACAAATAAATGAACATACTACTACAAGTGTATGGCGATTAAAAGTATTAAGTAGTTTACGTTCATTACTTAGTGCTGTTGTTCAAAATTCTGTTGGAGACTTAAAAAGTAAAATTTTATTTGAAAAATATTATTTATGTTAAATTTTATTTTAACTTTTTAAAATATATGTTTCTTTTATTATTTAATTAAAAAACTCAAATAAAGTTTTATTTTTAAATTTATCTTTAATATGGTAGGTGAATAATACAAGGGGATTCTTAACTGTGTTCCACAAAATATTTTTGAAATTATACAAGTTAATTTTTTTTTATATTTTTACAACAATAATGATTCTTTATTGAGCTATTTAATGAGAAATACTAAATTTCTACTATTATCTATTATGACATAATAGAAAAATAACCCTTTTATTTTGTTACCATCAGGTTACAAGTTTTATAAGTTTGTGAAAGATAAAAATAAAAGCATTCATTTATACAAGATGTGAACGCGAACAATAATCATAAATTGTTAATGTACCTATGCTCTTATAACTAATCATTGTAGTCCTAGAACTGATATTACTACTCGATTTATAGTTCCTAGTATAAATAAATACTTATTTTTTCATTTCCCTCAAACTTATAACAATCATAACTCACTAAAAATTAAATTAAATTAAAAAATTAACCTATAAATATTTTTTTGTTGAATTTGTTGAAAGTGATTAATTTTTATATTTTCAAAAATATTTTGTGTAAAAGTACTATTAAGTAATATTAATTGATAAATGGAAATAAATACTTTTAGCTTATATCCAAAATTTGATGAGTTACAAAAATGGGTCTTTGAGGTTTATTATCATATTTTGAGATAAGAATGTATTCTTTCACACGTAAAAAAATTAAGATTAAATTTTATCGGAAAGGCATTTCAATAATATAAATTTTCATAACTATTGAAATTTTTAATTTATTTTTGTTCTCCTGAAAAATAGTTAAAACTAATACATTAGTTTTTAAAAAATAATCACAGATTTATTCAGACTAATAGCATCTCGTTTAAATAGTTTAAAAAAATAACATTTGAAGCATTTTATCAAATAATTTAAAAGCTGAATTAAGAAATAAATCAATATTTTGTTCTTAAAATCATTAATTGCTTTATAACATCCATGAAAAGTTAATTTGTCATTAGTAATTTATCATGAATAATAAATTATAAATACTATTCAGCTATATTAAAGAAATGCCTACATAGTATGGTCAGGAACATATTTCACTTTGGTACACAGGTACTGAATTTGGTTTTGTTCTTTACAAATATTCCCGTTCTCTTAAATATAAGTTTACAAGATAGTATCTTAAATATAAATCTAAAATTAGCATTGTAGTAAAAAAATTAAATGAGATCTTGCACTATTAATTTTCATTGTATAATTAAGTAGTTTAGATAATATTCTCCTCACTTCTATTATAAAAAAAACTTATTAAAAAACTATTAATTCCTAAGGTTCAATAACTCTAAATAGAACTGTGAATTGGAAGGATTCTTGCCGTTTGCGTGTTCCTTTATATAATCAATTTAGCTTAAAGGCAGCTCCATTAAATTTAAATGTTACTGAGATGTCCCAAGGAAATTCTTCTATGAATGAAATTCAGGTAGGAAAAAGTGAAAAATAAATTATCAAATATAACTAGAACTTTTCTTTTTTTTTAGAAATACACAGTTTCATTAATGCCTCTTTTGATTGATACATTTATTGAAGTTGCTCCTGGAAAACGAGAAAATAAAAACTGTTCTGAATTATCTTTGCAAACTGTGTCAATTTTAAAATGCATTATTGACATTGTACTCTTACTTTGGAGTATATTTAATCACTCTGACAACCCATCTGAACTGGTATGTTGTTTATATAATTAATCAAAAAAAATTTTACTCAACCCAAATACTCTTTTCATCTAAAAATTTTTAATTTTTCCTCGAAAGTACCATTTATAGATATTTGGTCTATTTTATTCTTATTTTTTACAGTTTTAGCTTAATAACTAAATGTAATGTTATTTAATATCATAATATCTTGTAAATTATTTCATTATCTCGTGTAATATAGATGACACTTGTTAGAAAATTTTTTTGGTTTCCATACCAAAAAATAAATCAAAATTATATATAAGTATCTGAGGTTTTAACTGCCCACTGAATATAAATACTAGTATTATTTAAAAGCCAGAACTGTAGGAATGTGGCATAGTGGGACATGTATGTGTGATATCTACCAGTAATTCACATCACTATCATTAAAATGCTTCGATGAAAATTTTTTAAATTTTACAATGATTTATTAATTGAATAGCTAAATAGAAAAGGTAACTTTTAACTGAAAATATTTTAATAGTTTATATCTTTTTTCCACCTAACCAATTGCTATGTTCCAGAATTTCACTCGAATATTAAATGATTGTTATATTGATTGCTAAACATTCAATTACTATCCTTTAGAACATGAAATACATAAAATTCATTTCTTACTATTGTTTTTCTACATTCTTTTGTCAATTTAAACATTTTTTGTTTTTTGAAATAATTGTGATTTTTTGTACTTTGATGGTTTCTATTATTTCTCATAGAAGAACAATTATTGAGCAAAACTAATTTTTTAAATATTGTAGTACACTTCAAAAGTTTTAATTTGATATATTTGAAGATTTTATTTATAACATAACATTACCTAACACCCACTACTATAACATTTTTAAAAATAGAATAGAAAGATGTTTTTATACATGTGTAAGTAGTGTCTTTAAAACCCTACTTATAATTAGGTTTTTCATTGAATTTTGAATTAAAAAGCATACCGGCAGAAAGCTTATTATCTCTAGTATATCTGGATAAATGTTATTAATATCAGTGTTTTTATAAAAAAGTATTAATAATTTGAAATTACGAAACATTTTTTTTTAAAAATACCATTTTTTAAAGTTTTTATTTTGAGATATTTTTCTTTATTTCTAAAATTGAGGGGTTTTTTCTAATTTTTGTCGACGGTAAGTTCTTTTAGATTAAAATTGGGTTCTTTTTGCGTATTGATCATTAAAATAATAATTTGTATAGACAAATATAAAAAAGCACACACCATTACAAAACCAATACCTTCTCAGCTCTGCATAGTAGCTAAAAAATAAATATTGCTGAATTTTTAAAATTAACTAAGGTTTCTATTTAAAAAAATAATTATAACAATTTTATACAAGGTTTAAGATCTGGTAGAATTTATCAAGAATAATTATAAAAGATTATTATAAAATATACACAAAAATAAACTTTAGACTAGATATATTTTCTATATTATAATAAATTAAAATTTCAATGAATTTATTTAGATGCTATGGTTTAGTGAAAATTATGGTGAAAAAATATGTCATACATTTCTATCAACTGGGTTTCCATATATAACTCTAAACATTGGACGTGTAACAGATAAAGCTAAAAAACATAAAACTGATACTGATGTTGTTTTAGATTTATTTGGTGATAGTTTATCACAAAATGACTCACGTTGCACTAAACAGAATTTAGATCTTTGCTTGATCTATTTATTCCTCAGTAAATATAAAAAATTACCTGTATCAATCAATTTAATATCTATCTATATAAATGGTAAGAAAAATTCTACTATATTATGAATATTTATTACAAGTTTATAAAAATTAAAAATTTATTTTACTACTTGTATATTGGTTAATTATAAATTGTTTTTTATATATATGTATTAAGAAATTTTTTTATTAGATTGTTTAGATTCATACAAAACTATTGAACATCAGTCATTCATTACATTGATGAAATGTTTAGAGGCAGTTCTTCAAAATTTAAAATTAATCATGTCAGCTGATTCATTTGATTTTAATAGTGTTGTTGAAAAATTAGTTGATATTCATAATGACATGGTTATAAATGATGGACGCCATCGCCAAGAAAAAACTAAACTAGTACTGAACTTTTTGTGTTCATTAGCTTCAAAACCACATTTAAAATTGGCTGAAAAGTATGAAATAAATAAAAGTATTACATTGTTGTTTAAATCATAATTACATTACAGTCAAAAATATTTTTCAGAGTGAAAGAATATGGTAGTTGGTTAACTTTATTACCTGAATTTTTGTGTCAACGTAAAGTACCATTTCATATAATTAAAGCAATAGCAAGTGTTGCTCGTTATAATTTACCACAATTTGTTAAATCATTAAATTTACTAAAAATGGCAATCATTGGTTTGTTTATATTCAAATATTTTTAACAACCTTATAATATTTTATTTCTATTTAATGTTGTAGATAATGTAGAAGTTATTGCCAACAATAAAGTTGAAAAGCTAGAAGGACAAACAATACTGAAAAACATGATGTATACAAAAATTGATTGGGAAAAAGTAATGGGTATAGTCAGTTAGATTATGCGTTAGTTATAAATAATGAATATTTTGTTAAAATAAATTATAACATTGTTATAAATTATATTCGTTATTTATTCTTAAACACAATCAATTTTGTTTAATGTTTATTTCTAACTGTTAAAAATAAATAATTGAACAAATTAATTTCATACATTTTTAATTATTTACAATATCTAATTAAAATGGAATAATTTGTTGTTTAATCTAGCTTTTATAAAACCAAATTAAAATTCGATATTGCTTTAGAAGAATTTCTTGGTTTTTTTTGTATTACCAAGATACTTCTCATTTATATCTTCAAGATATACACACAATTTTATGTATTTTAATACAAGATTGTAGGAATTCTATAATTGCCAATCATAACATAATCACCAACTTTATGTTATATATTATAAAATATGAATAAAATAATGTTCAATTTTGAAATTCAGTTTAACTTATACTCTATAGAAATCTAAAATTAAATTAAACCCAGTAAATTTGTTTTTAAAAAATTATTTTATAAGTGAAGGGCTAAATAAATTTATCATAACAGAAACCAATATCCTTGAAAAAAAAAAAAAATTTTCAAAATTGTAGTATTATATTTCTAGATCAGTGGCTTCATTTGAAGATGGGTAGAGCGTAAAGTTTATCACTTCTTAAAAATTACTAATAGAAAATTAATTAGCTGTCTTAAAAAAATGTATAATTATGTAATTTATTTAAGAAATGTTTTATTACTACTAACTACATTTATAATAAGTTAACAGAATTTTTATATTTTGGTTTATAAATGTGTTATGATTAAAGTGTTGTAAAATATTAATTGAAATAAAATATTACAAAAGGATTTTTAATTAAAAATATGTTGTGACTTGTAAAATGGAAACAAAGTATAAATATCATATTAATTATTTTATAAGTTGTTAAATTCTGTTAATATAAAATAATGTATTAAATATTATTTAATAAATATAAAAATGTACCAGCTATGATATACTACAACTATTTAAACGTTTTTATAAGGTAAAATGTTTGTAATATAGAGCTGCTAGCACTATACTTCCATAATATTACACAGGCATGTTTTTAAAAATTAATATTTTTTGAATTTAATCTTCTTATTGGTAGTTTTAGGTGCGTTACACTGGCACCCGCATATTAGAAATTTGAAAAAAAAAAATTCAGTATTATGTACTTTTTTATATACAATTTTGTACAAACAAAATTAATTTTTGTACAACCCCCCCAACCCCAAGAAAATAGATTTTTTTTCTCTCGGTGTCAGTGTAACGTTACCCCAGCACCTGCATTTGTAAATTTTATGCTGAAAATTTATGTTTAAAAAGTTAGTTAAAAAAAACTGAAAAACACGTTTTTAAACTATATTTTTCATTTTCTTTTTCAACATTTGTTGTGAAATGGATAGAAATAATTTATTAATAATTTAAAAAGCTATTGCTTATATTCATTAAGTTACGAGTAATCTTTATTTTATCCTCAAAATCAATGAAACATTAAAAATCATATTAGTACTATTAAGTGGTATTTAGTGGTAGAATTTTGGGAAAAAATTTTTTTTGGTACAATGTTTACCAAAGTAGACATAGTAGTTGGAATTAACTTTTCCCGTATTCATAGAAAATGCTATATATAAAATTAAAAAATAAACAAAAATATTAAACTCAAAAGCCACAAAAAATTACTGAAAAGTCTCGGATACGTATTTCGGAAACAATGTTAAAATTATCAACGCTAAACACATACTGTCACCCCGACTATAAAAAACTCCCTTATATACCCTGAGTAACGTCATCACTAAGTAATATTATCATATTTTGCCAGTTCACACAAGTTTAATAATGAGTTTTCAGTGGGCCAAGATCCCAATTAATTAAATTGTTTTTATTTTTAAAAATTTCTATTGCCCCTCTAATATTAAGTTATTTGTAATTATTTACGTTTTTAATTAGTTTTAAGGTTTTAATGGAGTGATTATGTGTCAATAAATATTCAGTCACTAGAGATTTCTCAAATTCTTGATTTTTAATGTTTTTTAAGTGCTCATTAAACCTGACCCCCCTATATTTCTTTTTGTTTGTCCTACGTAACATTTATTACAACATTCACATTGTATTTTATAAATACCTGATTTCTCTCTTTCATCTACCTTATCTTTAAGGCTACCTAATAAGTCTCTAAAATTATTACTCTTAGATGTCACTTAAGTAATACCAAAATTCTTAAATATTTTAGTTAATCCATTTGAGATGTCCGGATAATATAAAATGGGTGATCTAATTACTTTTTGTTCTCCACGCTAGTGAGTGTACTAGCTGCCCTCTTTTCTTTTTTCCACTTTTGTGTTCAGATTAATTTTGAAATTATGTTTTCGTTATACCCATTAAATCTAGTTATTTCTTTGATAACCACCAGTTCTTTATCAGAATTCATTTTATTCATCGGAATATTAATTAAACTGTAAACCATATTATTAAAAGCTGTCAATTTGTGTTGCCAGCTATGGTTTGATTTGTTCGGAATGTACCTGAACGTGTGCGTGTTTTTCCAATAAATTTCAAAATGTATTTCCCCCTCTGCTCTTTTAACTAATAAATCTAAAAAGGCAAATTTCCCTCGACTTCTTGTTCATATGTGAATTTAATCGATGGGTAAAAAGAATTTAAATGTTGTATGAAAACCTCCATATTAAAATCTTTATTTATTACTGTAAAAATATCAACCTAACCCAAATTTTTGGAAAATCACCATAAGTGTGTTTTAAATTTGTTTCAAACCTACTCATGAAAAGTTCTGCTAAAAATGGTGATAACGAATTTCCCATTGCTGCTCATAAAATTTATTTCGAAACTGAAAAACATTTTGACTCGTACATAACTTTGTAAATTAATAAGCTCATTTAGTTTATCCTGTTCTATGTTTTGTTCCTTTATTCAGTCTTTAAGAAAACCAATTGTTATATTTATCGGAATATTCGGAAATAAGGCTACTACGTTAAAAGAAATTACCCTGTCATTATTTTCAATGGTATAACCAGATAATTTTTGAACTAAGTCAATATTATTTTTAACTGAAAAGCTATCGAATTTTTTAATAGATGAAAATACCCTTACTAAGTGTTTAGCCAAATTGGAAGTCGGGGAGCATTAATATTCGACACAATAGGTCTCATATAATTTCCTGGCTTATGCATTTTTAGCAAAGCCAATAGTTTAAGTATTTGAGGGTTTGAAATTTTAATAAAAAACCTGAACTTTTCTTTAATTATTAATTTTGAACTATTGATAACATTTGTGTAGCCTCCCTTATCATTTTAAAAAAGAATCCATTAAATAATAATGGATTCTTTTTAATTTCTCTCAAAATAATCTTCTATCTTCAGTATTATTATGGAATACCCCTTATCTAGCTCTAAATAAAAATAGTTTTTATTTTTTAATCCTGTATGAGTCGTGAATGTTTTTTATTTTTTCCTAAACCCTTTATTTACAACAGAATTTTTTTGTAGAAAATTTAAACACTCCCTTCTTGCTAAGTCTTGATTATTTACAGTGGTGGCTCATGGATGTTAGTGGTGGGGGTGCGACTTTAAATATAATATCGCTAGTTATAGGTATAAAAAATTGTCAAATTAAATATAAATAAAATAAAACACAATACACATATTATTATTTTAAAGGTCGCAGTAGAAAATAGAAATGAAAATAATAATAATAATAATAGCGATTATACTATTATAGCAAACGAACAACGACGAGCGTACACGTAGTTAATTCTAAAAATAAATTACCCCATTTAGTAATATACTAATATGTTATTTTTATGGACGACGCTGCCGGTCGTCCAAAACTTTAATGTTCGCACACAACAAATGTATTATAACTATTTTATTATTTTTTATTATGCTACTTAAAAAATTGCATTTTTAATAAAAATTTAGAATTAAGAATATTTAATTAATAATATAATTAATTTTGTTCTTTTAATTAACTTTAGTTGAGGGTGCGATCGTCCCGTCGTTCAAGCCAAGAGCCGCCACTGATTATTAAAATCAACACTTTTAACAATGTCTACTAGTAGATCTTCCATCGGAAATTTTTTCGGGAAAAACTTGTTTTAAGACCTAACTTAAGTATTTCAGTTTCTTTAGCGGAAAACACAATGTTCGTGTATTTTTTAACTAAATTTAACTATTTTATAAAATAACTCATACATTTTTATAATTTCTCCATATGAATTACAATAGTAGATAATTGAATATCAATTTCATACCAAATTTAATTATTATAATGACACGGCACCGCCTTTTGCTCTTGGCTGGCGCTCGCCCGTGTCTCTCTCGATAACAGCCGTCCAGCTATTAATATGACAATCGGTGGTCATCGGTTGTCTCCCCGCCCTTGACACTGAGATAAGGCCGCCGCCGAATATGGATTACGGATATTGCGTTCTGTTCCGTTTTCGACGTACACCTCATCGGGTGTGTTTTTGCCGTTCGGTTTACGACGTAGACCCTAACTAAACCCTAACCCTAACTGGTTCGTTGCGTTTTTGTGAGCATTTTCTTTATCCTTTTTCTGTCGTTTACGGTTGTGAAAGTTGTGTTTGCAAGCATATCTGATTGTTCGTGCGATTAGCTACACGTAGCGCATCTCACGTAAATACATACATATATCTACCTATACACAGTTATATATTCAGATATATATACATATCTTTCTACTTACTCGAACAGTGTAACGTGCGGAAAGAAATATATAGACATTAATTGTTTTTGTTTCCGTGGTGTCGGATTATATATATATATATATATATCCTTTTATATATATATTTATATATACGTCACTTACGTGTGCTCAACGATATTGGATTACGCGTCAATAATTAGTATTTATTCATGTATTATACTTATGAATCATAAAACATGCAATTTCGATATAATTAAGGAAATAGGAGCTGATGTTGATTTTTTAGTATTGCATAAACCAAATTATATATTTTAACTTTTTTTGCCCTAACGTATATTATTATTTATTTAATATCATTTCATCGGTCCATGAGTTACTATGAATAAAATTTGTTCACGGAAACGCATTTTTGCTTGAAAATTGTTACCTACGACATTTCAAATAGCAGGA